TCACAGAACTAGAGAAGAAAATTCTAAAATTCATATGGAAGCACAAAAGACCCTGAAGAGCTAATGAAATCTTGAGAAAAAAATAAATACACAAAGGCTGTAAGCATCACAATAACTTATTTCAAGATATACTACAGTACCATAGCAACCAAAACAGCATAGTATTTGCATAAGAATAGATACAATGACCAATGCTACAGAATAGAGACACACTCTCCTTCTCTCTCTCTCTCTGTATGTGTGTGTATACATATATATGTGTATTTATAGATAGATAGATATAGATATATCCATGCATCTATATCTGCTGATTCTTAACAAAGTTTCCAAAAAAGTTTCCAAAAAAGAAAACATTTGGTAAAGGACCACCTCTTCAATAAATGATGCTAAAAATGGATATCCACATACAGATGATTGAATTTTGATTCCTCTTTCCATGTACAAAATTAAATTCAAAATGCACACAGACTTAAATGTAAAACCTGAAAACTCTAAAACTACTAGGAGAAAATATGGAGAAATAAGAAACTGGTTCAAGCAACAATTTTCTGGATAGAACCACAAAAACACAAGAAACAAAAGCAAAAATTGACAAAGTTGATATATTAAATTGAAAAACCTTCTGCACAGCTAAAGAAACAGTCAAGAGAATGAGACGAGCCATGGAATGGGAAAAAGACTTGCCAGCTATGCGTCTCACAAAGGGTTAATACCTAGAATGTATAATGACCTCAAAAAAACTAAAAACAAGCAATCCAATTAAACATTGGACAAATGATTTGTGAATAGACATATCTCAAAGAAGTACAAACAGTCAAAAATACATGAAAAAAAACCCCACTCAATATCATTAGCCATCAGGGAAATCAAGATAAAAACTACAATGAGATACCATATCGCTCCAGTTAGAAGGTCTATTATTAACAATAAACCCTAAAATTAATAAATGTTTGTGACGATGTGAGAGAAAAAGAACACTTACACTCTCTTGGTGGGAATTTAAATTGGTAGGATCATTATAGAGAGCAGAAGTTTTCTCAAAAAACTTAAATTAGATATGCTCTATGACCCAGCTATCCTCCTTCTGAGTACATATCCACAGGAAAAGAAATCAGCATACCAAAGGGATATCTGCATGCCCATGCAGTGTTACTCACAGTAGCTAAGATACTGAATGAGAACATGTGGTTATCAATAGATTAGGAAATAAAAACAATGTAGTATATTTACACAATGGGAATATTATTCTGCTACAAAGAAGAATTGGCTCTTGACACTTACAGCAAAATGGATAGAACTGGAGGATATTATGTTAAGCAAAATAGGCCAGACACAGAAAGATAAGACCCATATATTCTCTCTCATATCTGGAATATTAAAAAGGGTGACCTGAATGTAGAATAGTGACCAATAGAGGTTGAGAAGGGATATAGGGTGGGTAAATAGAGGTTGGATATGATCATGCTGAGTGTATGCATATATAGAAATATCACACTGACTCCCATTAATAAGGGCAACTATTACATGCTAATAAAAATTTATATATATATATATATAATTGTATTTATTAATTATTTTAAAATAAAAGTGACTTATTAATCTTTATTTCCTCACACATGAATATTTGGTAGAGAAGCATTCCACAGAATATTCCTTTTTTAATATGTGAATTATTGCTATTTTACACAGAAAAGTATCATACTCAAGGTGCTGATTTTCCCAGGTCCCATGAGATTACTGAAGTACTTACGTAAACATTTTGGCGGGTTTGACCACTCTCCATTTCTACATGTTACTGTCTTGCTACCCTCAAGTTGATATAAGGATTGGCCCTGATATTCAACTGATGAACCCGTAGGATATACTGGTAATGGGAATGAAGTGAGGTCTCCATTGTCAATAGGTGGAGGAGGCCCACATTTTCCTATGGAATCTGGAAAAAATATCATTTTATTTATGAGAGAACAAATCAAAATACAGGATAAAATTAAAGCCAGCACAAACATCACTCTAGAGAGCATCAAGATTTCATGATTTCTGGTAACAAATGATTGCTCACAGAAATCTTAATCACAGAAAATGAGAGTTACATTTTAAGCTCTTCTTTTCATTTCACTGAAGGCGCATATAAACCATCAACAAATGTGTCTGCTTTATAGTGATTCAATACTAAAAAATGTGTCAATATATAAATGCTGAACAGGTAGATAGTGAGGACAAACTAAGAAAGTTTCTTATTATATAGGACATTACACAGTATTTATTGTGTCCCTTCTGACTTCTTTTTAATTTTCCTTTTTATTACAAAAGAAATGAAAACTCCTTGAAAAAAGTTCAAAGGAAGTAAATTTGTAGAAAATAATAGGGAAATATTGCCTTCCTAATCTGGACAAGATGAGTAAAAATCATTGTCACCTATTCCTTTTTTTCAGGTTTTGTATGTTGGAGTTTTTTAAAAATATTGATTTGTTATGTATGACAGCAGAATACATTACAATTCATATGACACATATAGAGAATAATTTTTCATATCTCTATATACAAAGTAGAGTCACACCATTCTTGTCCTCATACATGTACTTAGGGTAATGATGTCCATCTCTTTCCACAGTCTTTCCTATCCCCAAGACCCCTCCCTTCCCCTTTTGCTAAGCATTATTTATAATCTTGGACATAATAAATTTTAAATGCCAATATAAGAAGACTCTAGAAGGTACAGAGAATTCACTCTGGCTAGGAACTTCAGGATTTAAGGAATGGCAAATAGGTTGTTATATGAGTTCACTTTGGGGCTCTTGTGTGTTCTAGATGGAGCATTGGAGAAGGTTGGTAATCTCAGAAATGATATCAAGTAGAGATAAATAAGGAAAAGCTCATGCAGAGTCTCATCCCTTTAACCTAAGGACAAGGAAGGGAGCGGCCTTGCTAGTCTAAGAGATCTTTAAAACAATACATGACCTAATCTAGAGAAAATCATAAAAACATCATAAGGCACTGATGACCAGAGACCACCCACATATAGGGGTGGCAGAACAGATCCTGTATGCCTGTAGAGGCTGAATGAGAAACCTGGACTTAAATTCAGCATGGCTGTAATGGAGAACTACTGAACAGGAAATTTAAATAAAATGGGGGAGTCTCAAATGTAATACCTAAAATATTAAGTGTAAAATTAAAAATTACTCATCAATTTAAGGATCAGAAACATTAACAAACAAAAAAGATAATAAAAGAGAATACTGATGTGATAAAGATATCGATAGTCAATGTTTCTTAAAAGCTCAGTAGGGTTTAGAACAGATAAATATAACAAAAACAAAACAAAATGTCTCACTGTACAGACTGAACAGTTTGAGGATGACAGAAGGATAAATCCATGCACTTCAAGATATAACAACATAAATTACCCAGTGTGAAAATAGACTGAAAAAATCAATCAATGAATCAAACTTCAGAGACCTTTAGAGGAAAAGAAAATGTTGGAGAAAGAAGGAAGAAAGGATAATTGAGTTATCAAATAAATGGACAAACTAAGGAGGAAAAAGTCTATTTTATATTCTTCCTTTTAGCAATTAAGTATCATTTTCTCGCCCCTGTAATTGCTAAAAGTAAGAATATATAATATAATAGACTTTTCCTCCTCAGTTTGTTCATTTATGTTTATTTATGTTTGATGTTTAAAAGAAAATTATATCATTTGGTAACAATGTTCACTGTATAAACAGGAAATACTAAAGGGTAAATGGATTTAAATGGAAGCAAGCTTCTCATGTTTTGATTGAAAATGAAATGCCATTACTAGTAGAGTGGTAAGTTGCAAATATATTATGTATATATTGTAATTCCTAAAGCAACATATTTAAAAAGAAAGGTAGTGGGATAAGCTATCATAGAGATACACTCAAAACCAGGAAGATAAATCAAAATGAAATTCTTTTAAACTGTTCCCTGAAAATAATGGAAGAGATCAGAAACAAGAATGAGAAATAGAGAAAATAAACAAATAAAACAAGAAACAAAAAGCCCAATATTTATTTTAAATATAAATGATCTAAATATACTAGAGGAAAGAGCAAGTAGGGCAAGATAGATACGTAAAGGAGATCTAATTCTGTGGTTTACATAAAACTGACTTCACCATTAGCCAAAGGTAGAATCAAAGTAAAGTGAGAGAAAATAAATTAGGAAAAATTAATTTTTAAAAATAGAAATGGATGATATAATATCTCCATTATTCATTTCCTGAATTCTGAATATTAGAATGCTGATGACCTAATATCCAAACTTATTTTTATAAATATAGTGATTCCCTGGCTGGCCTCAGCCACATATTTTCAAATATACTCTATATACTGAAGATGCCCAAATGTATATTTATATTCTATGATCAGTCTTCAATGACCTATTTTCTGTTTCTCAAAGTAGATATCTCTTGGAGTTGTCAAAATGTACTGAGTGTCTTAACTTTTAAGATGAGGAATTTTCTCAGATTGTAACTGTTCTATTAATCTGGTTAAATGTGTCTTGAAAAAATACACCATATTTCTTAGTTCATTTTGCCAGAAAATAAATCTTTAGCAATATCATATTTTTTGCATTTGAAAAAATATAATCCCTAAGAATGACTTGACTTTATTTTTATCAACATATTTTACTCACGTTATGTCCTCAAGCAAAGAAAAATTAGAAAATATGATCTTCTACCTTTGCACTGAGGTGGCTCTGTACAAGTTCCATTTAGACACATCACTTCTACTTCCCCAAATATTTCAAAAGGTTTGATACATTCATAACGTACTCTCTCACCAGATGGATACTTAAGCATCTGGTTTGATATTATATTAGCATTTTCCACTTTGGGTGGATTCACACAGGAAATATCTGAATAGAAAGAAAAGAAAGTATCTCCACCTAGTGTTCATTTTGAGTAGCTAAACAATGAATAAGATTCTGAACACATTTTAAATAGGATTGAAGATTAATAAGATACTTTGTCATGAAGAACTTTTCTGATTTTAATAAATTCACATGTAATACAAGGAAAAGAAGATATAGCAATAATTTTTTGTCAGAGCTAACCTTTCATGCCTTTAAATCTCTTCGCTATCCTTCACTAGAACATTGATAGATATTTTATCCCCTTAAAAGCCACTGAGAATGAAATATTTCCCCTTGAGTTGAGTACAACAAATATTACAAAGTCCATAAGTGCAACATGAATTTTAAAATTCAACAAAAAATAAGAGTAACAAGATTATGTAGCATCATTCTTTGGTATACAATTATCTTGCTCTTTAATTAACATTTTAGCCTCTTAAAAACTGAAAGATGCATCTCTTTAGAGAATAAGAATTAAAAACATAGTTTGAAGAATAATTTGTTATTCTTAAAACACAGTTTAAAGATGTTATGTACAACTATAATGCACCAATAAAAGCAAAAAAATTGTTAAGTAAATCTTTAAGAAAGAGGCAGATTATCAATTAAAAAAACTAAAGATGTGGGAAAGTAACAGAAAAGTACAACTATATTTATAGAAACATAGCTTTTAAAATTTATTTATAAGTGCTTTTGGATACTATGATAAACTATGTGTAATTCCTCAGAGAGTTTTAGGTGCATGGTTAGTAATAACAGACTATAGCAATGGTTCCCAAATTGAGGAGTATGTAAAATCCTTTGGGGAACTTGATGAATAATTTCAAGTCATATCTCAAGATTATTTTTTCCAGTAGGCCTAAGGTGACCTCAGGAATTTTCATTTGAATTCATAAAAATCTGTTCAAAATTTGATGCTGCTGGTCTTGGGACCACACTCTGAGAACTCTTTGGTATACATTGAACTGTGAGATTAACCACTATATATTTAATTCCAACCTAAATAATTAGATTATTTCTAATCTTAAACTTACTTTGTCTTGGCCTGAAAATTAACTTATACACATTTTTAAGAATGGTATAGAAAATTTAATATTTTATAAGACACTATACATAAATTTATAATGCCATCAATGTACCTTTGCACATTGGCTTTCCTATCCATTTGCCATTAATACATGTTATAGTATTGGACCCTTCCACTTGGTAAAATTTTGGACATCTGTAAGTCACTTGATCTCCTGACTTATATGATTCTTTCCTTTCTCCTAAAAGCGTGGCATCATCAAAGTTGGGTAAATTAAAACAATCTGTTCCTGAAAGAAAAAAACATGTATTTGTTCACTAAATTAAAAAATGTAATATTTAATAGTAAAATATTCTAAAATAATACTTAGCTACCTATAGAACCAATGAATAATGAATAATATACTTCTTACACCTTGGCAAAATATGATGTTTTGACTTCAATTGAACTGTTCTAAATTTATCAAACATATAAGATAGGAATGATGCTTGAAGAAATATTAGTAGTTCTAATGCTTTAGATCAGATTTTTACATTCAAATTATTATTTTTTTGCCCACACTTGCCACAGGTAAATTTATGTATTTCTACTTTTGGCTTCTGCAAATGTGAATTATTTACAATAATTATTTCAAAGTTTTATGAAATATGTATTTTGTAGTGAGATTGGTGATGAACTGAGCATGAGATGGATGAGTAGGGGCCAGTTTCTCTAGGAACAGAGAGAGATAAGAATTCTGAGAATGTACATTAGAGGATGCTAAATGTTTACACAAAATGATGTGACAATGAAACAATTTGGCTCTTACTGTCAAACATTTTTTAATTACTAGGTTATAATTCTCTGCCAGACTCAAGAAACTTCAGGTACCTTGTAAAATTCTAGAATAACAGCTTACTTTTTTATTTGTACCACTTATACGTTGAATGAGGGAATCTATCACACAGATTATAAAATTAAATACACTGTACTTATGCATTCTGGTGGGGAAGACCATTTTCCTCCTAAACATTTTATAAATGCAGGTCCATCAATCCCAAAACCTTCAGAACAATTGTAAATAACTTCTTGTCCATATGGGTACCTGTCTAACTCATGAGACATAACACCATTAGGAATGGAAGGTGGATGTTCACAAGGAAGTCCTAAAAAATAAAATAATGAAAGGATGAATCCATGTTTTACAACTCAGAAATTCAATTTTATAGGTCAATTTTGATATTTAACAGTTTTTGAATAGAAATAATAATAAATAAGCTATTATAAAGTCACAGCGAATGTGCATAAAGGCTTCTTAAGTCCACCTTTCTCATGTATGTCCACCTCTCAAACAGTAAAAACATGAGCAAGAAATTGAAATAAAAAATGTTGATGCTTTTAAGAGATCACCAGAGCTTCTCTAATCAACCATGAGTGAAAAACAGAAACATACTCAGAATTAATAACATTGAATAAATTGATGAGATGGATTTACCAAGTATTGTAAGACATCAGAAGGAACACTTTAAGAAAAACAATTTTAAAATATTTAAAATCTTGTTTGCAAAGCAAACACTACAAGTTACATAAATTTAAATTCACTACATGTTATATTCTTTTAAAAAGAAATGCCAAATTAAAAAGTAACTCTATAAAGAACCAATAAAATTAATAAAATAGGATTGATTCAATAATGCAATAGTATTTTAATCATAAAGTATTAAAATGATTAAATACATATGATAATCTATATTATTCTAAACCCTGACTTTGACAAAAGCATATTATATTCAATTATTTGTACTCTCAATTATTTAAGTATTTGTATTCTCAAATCAGAATTCGAGTTTTCATGCAGTCCTCACCTACACACCGAGGTGGAGGACTCCATTTGCCCATGTAGCATGTTATCTCATCCTCCTCAGAGGCTGTGAAACCATCTTCACAAATATAATTCAGTTTAGTGCCATGTGCATACTGTCTGGATTCAATTGCTTCTTTCCTTTCTTCTGAAGATCTAGATGGACTGATTCTTCCATGGTCTATGTCAGGTGGTTGAGAACATGAAAGTTTTTCTGTATGAAAAACAGAAATCAAAGGGTCAGACATAAATAAAACGTTTAAATTAAAACTAAAAGCAAATACTATTTAAGCCTGTCATCAAAACATCTATGCTATCCTCTTGCCCAAATCTCCCTTGATTTGTGTCTCTTATATGAAAAAATTCATAAATAGGAGTTTATCTGCTAGTTACATAATATCCCAAAGTGTTTCCAATTTTGTTGACAGAAATGAAAGATGGTGACTGGTTTATGAACCTAGATCATAACTTACAGTTTCAGGATCAAGTGTAATAGATAGAGAAATAGAAAAGGTACTCATCTTTTTCATTTACATAAAGCAGAGGGGATTATTAACTTCAACTGAAAGCATGTTATAAAGCAAATTGCACAGTACTGACCAACACAGTGTGGTATTGACTGCCATCTTCCATTTTTGCACACAATTTCTTCTGCTTCCTTAATCAGATAATTTTCTTTGCAAAGAACAGATACTTTTTCTCCATCCTGATATTTCACTGTGGTTTTCATATCTTCAGCATTGGGAATCTGAGGCGGAGGTGGGCAGAAGTTTATCTCACTTCTAGAAAATATTAAAATTAGACTTCTTGAATAAAAAATACTAATTTACATATATTAAAATACTTTACAAAAAATAGAAAATGAATCAGCTATTCCACTCCTTGTTTCTTATCCAAAAGAACTAAAATAAGCATGCAATAGTGATACAGCCACACCCATGTTTATAGTAGTACAATGCACAATAGCCAAGTTATGGAACCAGTCCAGATGCACATTCCACAGATGAGTGGGTAAAGAAAATGAGGCATATATACACAATGGAATTTAAAACAACTATAAAGAAGATGATATGCATTTGCTGATAAAAGGATGGAACTGGAGAACATCATGCTAAGCGAAATAAGCACACTCAGAAAGTCAAGGGTCAAATGTTGTCACGGTTTGAAGTGTCCCCCAAAAGCTCATGTGTGACACAATGCAGGAAGGTTTAGTGGAGAAATGGTTGGGTTATGAAAGTCTTGACTTAATCAGTTTATTAATACCCTGATGGGGTTAAAGAGTGATGGCTGAAGGCAGATAGGCTATGTCTGGAGGAGGTGGGTCATTGGGGGAGGCTTGTCTTTGGATTATATATTTTGTATCTGATGAATGGACTCTCTTTCTGCTTCCAGATCATTATGTGAATGACTTTTCTGTGCCACACTCTTCTGCCAGGATGTTTTGCCTCTCTTTGAGCCCCAAGGAATGGAGGCAGCCTTCTGTGGACTCAGACTGCTGAAACCATGGGCCCTCTGAATAAACTTTTCCTCCCAAACCATTGTTGTGATCTGGTCTTTCAGTTGCAGTAGCAAAAAAGCTAAAACAAATGTTTTCTCTCATAATGCAGAAGCTAGAAAAAAATAAGGAAAAAAGGTGAGGAGGGATGAAAATAGAAGAGAGATCAGTGAAGTAGAGGAAGAGTATTGAAATGGAAGAAGGAGCAACAGGAAATGGAAGGAATGGTGGAATGAAATTGACCAAACTCTCTTAGGTGCATATATGAATATAAAAAAGTACATTTCACCTTTGTGCATATGTATAAAGAAATAATTTTTAAAACTCTAGATAAATAGAAGGAAGACCAGGAGAGTAGGACAAAAGGAACCAGAGGAGGAAGGAGAAAAGGGAAAGGGAAAGTACTAGGGACTGAAAGGAGCAAATTATATTCTAGGCTTGTGTAATTACATCAAAATGAATCATCATATTGTGTATAACTATAAAGTACCAATAAAAAATTAATTGTGATATTTGCTATAAGGTTAATAGTCAAATTGTTTTTATGATAGTCAACTATCTACCTGTTAAAATATTGTTAAAGGAACATGGTTAAAAAATAAATGGCCATTGCTATTTTTATATTTTATGCTTCCCAAGTAATTCTTTTTGGTCAGAAAATTACTGGGGTCATGCAAATTATATGATCTGAAATTAGCCAGTCCTGTAAGCATGATGACAGTGTCTGTATCACACAGATCTGTTGCAGACCTGAAAGAGCATCACTGTCACTCTCTTGTTTGAAGTAATGGCTATACTTTAATCTTCTGATTTGTTAATTGTGAGGCTGACTAATTTTAATATTTTGGAGGGAGATAAAAATTTCTGTGGACAATATAGTTCAAAGCTGCCTGTCATTATAGAAAATTTGGGGGTCATTAGAGCACATTTCTCATTGAGTAACTGATAAAACGATCTTCAAAATTACACATATTCATCTTTGGTTTTATAATCATCTTCCTAATGCTTAGGGGAAATGGGAAAGGTGAGGATTTAGGTATTAAGGGGACAGATTTATGTTTTCAGGTAGACAGTGACAGGTGGCTGGGTGTGCTTGCTGCTTCCTTTAATCCCTTGCCCTGCATAGCCAAATTTTCTTTGATTTCATGTGAAAGCCATCCATTAACGGAAAAAAGAGAAACATAGCTAATACTTTAATGAAAAAATTGTAGCAGTTTGATAGAAATCTCTGCTGTCTGCAAAAGAGATACAGGTTCTTCAATCTCCTGATGGAATGAAGTGGGGGAATGCTGCTATTTGTTGTTTTTAAATGGGGAAAATAATAAGAAAAAGGAGCATTATTTACAGAATATTTTTCTTTCAATTTAAATAATGATAGTGATGACATACAATAGATTGTGAGATAAAGACTTCTAGTCATAATTGCATAGATTACTGAAAGAAGAACTTAGTCAAAATGTTTCTCCTGTTATTTATATACAGTTTCAAAGTGGCAATTATAGCTTATCCTGTTTAAAGAAAAAAAAAAAAAAGAAAAGAAAAGGACCCAAATGCCATATTTTCCTCCATCAAAATGGTTAAAGACAGGTTTGCATATTTTGCCAAATGAGCCAGTGGGGAAAATGGTATCTGGGTTTCTGCTCTTAAATGGTCCCACTTGACTCTAATTACATGGTGATACTGAATCCATCCAGGAGGATGCTATGTACAGTCATATTGTATTACATTGAGGGACTAAGAGCTTAAGAGACCCTCCCTCCAATTAAAGCAATATGAAGGGACCCAGAATCCTCATTCTCAGGTTAAGTAACCAACTTGAGTTTTCACTCTAACTTTTCCAACATTTCTGTTTTAAATGAAGTAAAGGAAAAAATATAAGGAGGAAATAAAAGAGGTTGGGCAATGCATAATTATATACAGGTTTCATTTTAAATACTCTTCCCTGATGACAATTCAAGTTCCACACATAAAGTGAGACAATTGATATCTTTTTTGACAGTATTTAAGAAAAAAATTCATGATTCAAAATAGCATAATATAAGACCTTTTCTAGTTAGTGCTTAGGTTTATGCTAGGTATCAAAAGTTCTTTCATCTTCATAGATGCAGGTAAAATACACAAGACTTCTTGGTCAGAGATAAATCATTCATGGCCCAGCAGGCAATATGGTCCTCCAGTTCCATGTAGCAGGTGATATTAAATGGACCCAGGTGGATGCCATTTACACAATATGTGTCACTGTAAAGAACATTGAGCTAAGAGACAACCTCTCCTGACCCTAAATGTTATAAGATGGCTACTGGGAAACTTACCCCAAAGGGAGGCTGTATTTTTATTTTGCTTTTAGAAAACAAATCTACCCTCTATTCCAGAGTGAAACACTATCTCTATTTTTTCAAAGTTCTTTGCTCTATAAACAACTTTGAACAAAAGCCATCACTTTTACAGGTATATAAAGCAGGACAGACTCTTGAAGAATCATCTCTTAACACTAGAACACACACACACACACACACACACACACACACGTAGACTCATACACATGATATATATGGTATACATATATGACGTGTGCATGGTAAATATAAGTATTCCATAGAGCAAGTTCATAATTCTTTACATATTTTTTAGATGTAAAGAAACACTATTAACTGAACATCTTGTCTAATTAAAGGGATAGTGACCTTTCATTTTACTCAATAACCCATTTCTGCTCAACCAGTAGATTAATTGCCACAATAAATAGGGAGAAATGTATGTATTTTGTGATGCTGGGGTCTAGAAACAAGGCCCTTTGACTTTTTATATTACTTCCACCAGAATTAAAGAAGCTCCTGTACTGTTGCTCTCCTCATAATTTGCCTTCTTACCAATTACATCATGTTGTTTAAACAAGTGGGCAAAATGGTGGCCAATGAAGCAGTATGATTTTTTCTCCCTTCAAACACACCACTTGCTAAATGTAATTATAACCTTGGGAAATACAGTTAAAAAGATGTTGAATTAAATTGAGCTCTGAAAATTGTTCACCTCATGATTCCTTCTGATTACATCTTGGCATAATTCCATCAGGTTTCAATATGCAATTTAGGGATAACGTATAATTGGTATTGGAACCATTGTGACTTCTCTACATTTAAATGGGAGGCCCTATCTTATTAGTAATAACTATAATAACTCTGCTAAATAGGTTGTATGATTTAGCTGCTCATTAGTAAATTATTTTTCAGCAGGAATATCTTACCTTTATATATTTGATTCAAATTTTAAGGAGGAAATTTATTAACAAGACAAGTGTTTACAAGGAGACTTTTAAAACAGATATTATAGTCAGGTCCTAATCAGACAATAATTTACCAAGGTATTCAATTCAAGAGCTTATTGTAATTAAGTATTATTTCCAGGAAAACTTTATCCATAAGAGGCATTTTAAAGATAAGCAATGAGGTTTAGGCCCATGGTATCAAAATACCAGAAAATGGACATGTCTACCTCTATTTCATTACACATTTTTTTGATGTGTTTCTTGGGAGAAAGCCTTTTGGTATTAAAAAAAATCATTGCAAATCAGCCCAGTAGACATTGGTACCCACCAGCAGTGAAGAGTGCTAAGCACTGGTGTGTTGAGATTAATATATTCACTTGAATAAAAACTAAAAGGAGACTCTCTAGAGAAATAAATTTGGAGAAAAGCTGGTTTAAGTAAGTTTTCACAGGAGTCCTACTGAAAAATAAATTCAGGATCTGAGAGGTTCCACTATAAATAAATTTGCTTTCTCAATGTCTTTCAAACTGGATCACTGATTCCTCTTATTTGGTAATGGTCTTTACACTTGGGGATGTCCTGAACACTCCCAAATGACTTCTTCATTCCACCAGGATGCCCAGGATTGTAGTCCTAAGTGCCTTTGTGTCTTCAGATATTGACTAAAACCATCTATTTATTTGGACTATTCAGCACTCAGTATTCATACTAGTTCTCAGGCCTCAGGTGCATCTGAAGAAACATGGCTCGGTATGAAAGATGGAAGAGGTGACCTGAGGGACTAAGGGTTTCAGAGAAATGGTAGTGATGTCAGAGAATACATGGTAGCTATTTAGAGGTCATTGATTCTGAACCCTTATTTTCCACATCTTGACATCCTCATCTTTAAAATAATAGTAAGGCCCTCTTTGTGTGTCTATCATAAAGATTAACAACATAAATGTAGTTTGGAATCTCCACAAATAGCACTTGGCACAATTATTATTATTTCAATTTTCAAAAATTGTTTCTGGGTGTGGTAT